AGTTGCAGGGGTCTCCACTTGTCACAGCTGGTGTTTGGAACACATGATTTAAGTAGAACCGGTCTGTGTGTTTGTAGGACTTAATGCAAATCCACAGAGGATTACCAGTTTTAAGCTGTTTCTGCTAAGATTTGAGTGGAATTTTAACATGTTATTTCTCCCATAATATTAGTGCACGTGTACTACTTATATACTCCTAATAAACTACTGTTAATCATAATATACTAATGATAGAAATAATACTGTTAATATACAGATGTAAATGTATAATTAGTGTAACTGCAAGATCCATATGGGAGGGCATTGAGACATCTGGACTGTCGAGACCTGTATGTTTCTAAAATTTCCTTCCATCCTCTGTCTTGAAGCACAAATAATTTCCATAAAAAGGAGAGAAAATGAATTTTATTTACCTCATTAAAATTATTTGAAGGTCCAGTTTAAGCTCCATTCTGTAGGAAAACACAACTATTCTTCAGACAAGCAGCTATGTCAGTTAAAAAATAAGAGACTGCATTTTGTAATTTATATGTCATGGTAATTACAACAAATAAAAAAGTTTTAAATATTTGCTGTGCTTGTTAGAATGTGGAGTTATGCTTTAAAAAATAAACCATGTTCATGACCGTACTTTGAAATTCTTACTGTGTTGTCCTGCTAAACATACACATTACACATTATTGTCCATGTCAGTCTCTTCATCACACTCGCACTCTGGCAAGTCCTTGTCCGGTCATGCCTCGTTGGACTCCCTGATGCTGTTTGTACAAGTTGTCAGGTCACATTTGTAGGTCTCTGTGCAGAGAAGTACAGTCATGTTTGGTGTTTCTGTTAGAGTTTTTGCTTTGACATATGGTACACGTGAGGGAAAACTTAGTCATTTTCTTCCAGACAGCCCTTATCTGAAAGCAAAATCACGATGGTTTATTTAGTATTTTACTTATGAATCAGATTGTGTATGGTTGGTGGTAGAAGATAACACACCAGTAAGATCTGTAAGGTCATATGCAGTGGGAACGTGCACCTATGCCTGTCTCTTGAATTATGTGCAGTTGCTGAGTACCCTAACGAAATTCTTAGGAGTATTCAGATGTTTTAGACATAACCAACATATTGCTGAAAGCTTTGATCTTGTCAAGAGGTCAAATGACTGTAAGGTCTCTTTAACTATTAAAACACAAGTATGTGGAGGAACATGACAACGTCCTTTTAGGTTTTGATCAATAAAGTTTGTTAGAGCATGTGAGGATTAATCTCAGTCCTGGTGCAGTTCCCCACAGTTTCCTTACAAGAAGAATGTTATAATAAGGTACTAAGTAACAGCATATTAATGTTCAGTAAACTGACAATCAGTAGGTGACAAGAGTGGAATTTGTATCCAGGTTCATTACTACTTGTTCAATAAAAATAAGATATTCTTTGATTGTGACTTGTTTTTTGGTAGAGGAGTTCAGGCATGTTAAAAACTTCAGCAGAACTCGAAACCCCATGAGTTCATGGGGTGATTGGGATACTGATTTCCAGACTCCAGAGAGGCAAAGACCAGTAACCTTTCTGCTCCTGGCAGGGTCACCAAGGTGGCATTCAAATCCTCAGTAGATCTTGCTATTACAGAGGCAGATTTTCAAAGGCTCTTAACTTGGTTTCTAAGTTAGTGCTCTTTATTTTAAGCCTGTGGTATGCCCAGGCAAACTAAGCTATTAGTGAGCATTTACAAACTTGTGACAGCTTCCGCAAGACCTGTTCTTTTCAGAAAAGACAGGCAGTTTTGACACTAACTTCTCCCTTTTGCACATACTCTTTTTGGACAGCCTTAGGTATATTTCTACCTCAGATTCAGATCAACCTCTAACAAGTTCCCTTCTCTGCAGTTTCTTAAGGTGTCTTGATCTGGCTGCCCTGGAACTTTAAGAACACACATTCTGGCATGAAACATATCTTTTTGAAACACATCTGATTCTATTTAGTGTGGTAGTGGGAAATAATACCCGTGCTGCTGCTTTTTACATCATGATTTTGGGATGATTTTTTGGATGCTCCATCTGGCTTGTTTCGTGCTATACAGAGGTGAAAGCAGGTAGCTGTTTCCACAGAGTCTAAATGCTGAAGGGAGTTAATTATATCTGGGTGACTACAAGGGCAGAGCTGTAGCAGTTTGGGCTATTATACTGTCACCTCAAATCAGTCATTTTTATTGTGATGAGGCAATTTGAGTTTATCTTTGGAACCTTTGGCTTGCCGTGCAATGTTAAAAAGAACATTTGGCTAGAGAAGCCAAATTGAGTATCCTCCCAACAGGCCTCCCAACACTCCTGGCTGCGGAAGTGCAATATGTAGCACGCACCAGTCACCTCAGTTAGAGCTGACAGGACTTTGTAAGACTGGGATGTATGTGGTAACTGAGAATTTTTGCATGAAAATGTAAAAATGCGTGTGGCACATATCTATGTTCTGCAGTGGGGCAAGGCATGTTTAAGGTTCTTTTTCAGAAAACTGGTTGCTTCTGCAATTTACTGTTTGATAGATTAGAAGTTTGGTTTTGCTGTAGCCACCACTTTTTCACATGTGCTATCCTAAACTGTTATTATATTCCCTATAACATTAAATTCTAAGTACAGGATATAGTTACAAAGAAATTGATTTGTATTTAGCACTTGCTGTTGCTCTTTAGAGAAAAAGAAAAAGTGATGCACTCAGAGTTACATTTCTAAAATTCAGATGAATTAATACAGTTTTACCAGTTTAACTAGGAAGAGCTGTGGTTGTCTTGGCTGAATGTTGATTCTCTATTAAGAGAATTGTCTGGGTATGAACAGAGAGCACTCAAAGGTCGTGATGGGTTAAGTCTCAGTAAGAAACTTACATTTGCCTTTGTTAATCACAGCACCAAGGAATTTTCTTTACCACAATCCACTTACTGGTTGTTTATAGGTTGCAGATTACGATTCCATGTACTAAATATGCCACTTGCCATCAGACAGGGGATTCAAAGTGTGAAAAGCTGAAGCTTGCCAGAAGCTGATGTGAAAGATATATTAGTACTTCGGTGGGAGCGAAGGGATGATGTCAGTAAATGCATATATCAGACAAAAGTTGGAACTAGGATGTTTTTTGGAGAGGGTTGTCATGCTGCCATTAAGGAAGTGGAGAGGGAGAGAGAGCACAGCTGCTAGTTGGCACACCTTCCTAGGGTAATAGCCCTCCTTAGCAAGATAACACTGTTTACAAGATCAGGCATTTTGGCAATGCTTTATATTTAGAGTCTTAAATACTAAGTTCTTTGTATTATTAATTAGATTTAAATTAGACCTGATAATTTTAGTTTAGTTCTTCGTATGGTGTTTCAGTTCCTGTTAAGCTATTTTGAAAATAAATGTGTGTGTTTAGGTAAGTTTTCATGTATATTAATACACACTGAAATCATAAAATCATAGAATGGTTGGGGTTGGCAAGGGCCTTAAGACAAGTATTAACACCATCATCTTTAAAAATTGTGAACTTATGTCCATTATTAAACTCGAGGATAAATAGAGCTGTAAATGTAGACAGCTGTTTTCACCCAGACCACATTCCTTTTCACTTCCCAGGCTTGTCAGCTGGGGCATAGTGCCATGTCAGTGCAGTTGTACTCTTTCAGAGTCAGGGTGTGCATACACCACTCTTCTGGAGCCAGAGGCATTCAAGATGGGCTGCAGGAACACTCAAGTTGGCTTCTGTAGCAAAACGTTTACAATTCCAGTGCCAGTCCACCTGGAGCCAAGCTGGCCAAAAGGCCTGAGTTCATGAAATCACAGACTGGTTTGGACTGGAAGAGACCTTAAAGCTCATCCAGTTCCAACGCCCTGCCACAGACAGGGACGCCTTCCACTAGAACAGGTTGCTCCAGGCCCCTGTGTCCAGCCTGGCCTTGAACACTGCCAGGGATGGGGCAGCCACAGCTTCTCTGGGCACCCTGTGCCAGCGCCTCAGCACCCTCATCAAAAAGCATTTCTTCCTGATGTCTAATGTAAATCTCCCCTCTCTCAGTTTGAAGTAATTCCCATTTGTCCTGTCACTACATGCCGTTGTAAAAAGTCCTGCTCCAGCTTGCTTGTTGGCCCCTTTAGGCATCAGAAGCTGCTCTGAGGTCTTGGAGCCTGCTCTTCTCCAGGCTGAACGAGCCCAACTCTCTCAGCCTATTACATCTCCCTGATGTTACTAATAATACTTATCAGTCACAAAAAGTACCACCTTTGTCTTAGTGTTGTGTCACTCCCGCTAAGTTGCTTCAAGATGTGAGCTACCGGTGTGTGATTGAAGGAAGCTTTTTTTCTTTTTTTTTCAGTTGAAAATAAATATAAATTTATTACGGAGAAAACGTCTTTCTGTCTTCTGTATCGCTTTGCTTTCTTAGGAACATGAAGAATTTTAATCCTGTCCTTTGGTCTGTGTTTAGGAACTTGCTTCAATCGGGATGTTTTTGCACTTTTTCCCCCTTTATAAGGAATGCTTCATTCCTGGGGATTTCCAGGCAGTTTCTTCAGTCTGACATTTTTCCTTTCTGCCACCTTTTCAGTAATACCTGCCTGATACTTACTACTTGTTTAGGAGCTTGGCTGTCTTCACTGGTTAATTTAGTAATAGCAGAGATGTAACAAATACTTTTCCCTCAATTTTTAAGGATCTTTTGTTGTCCTTTTTGTGAGAATGTGAATAGTTCCATTCTGTGGTGATTTGTTTATGGGGTTTTGTTTATTTATTTATTTTGTAAGAACGTTTAAACCTTAGTAGAAGTGTAAACCATATTAGTAATTCAGGGAACTTCCTAACCAGGAAAATCATTAGTTAGGGTAGATTAGAATTTTTTGGCAACAAATGTTTAATTTCCACAATTCAGAGCTGCTGTAACCATTGCACAATATTGCAGACAATACACACTCAGGAACTGATATATGTTTCTGATACTCTGAGTGCCATTAAGTAGCTGTCTAAATATTTCTTCACTTTTCTGTGACCATTAGGGAAGGATTGGTACCTGGTGTGCTTGTCACTTACTGTGACAGATGTGAACGACAATGTACCCAAGTGGGCAATGGAGCCCTTCCCGTTCCTGGCTGTGGTTTCCCCTGAAGCTGCAGGAGGTACTGAAGTATACAAGCTGCTTGCTCTGGATGCAGATGAAGGGATCCATGGAGCTGTAGAATATTTTCTCTTGGAAGGTAAATTTTAATCCTCTCATTCCCTGTGTATTAGGCTTCAGTCTTGTGACTTTTGGGGCTTTTAGCCCCAGTTTCATAAGTGAAAAGTCTTCCCTTCCTCCTGCAAACAGTTCATAAGCCTTCAGCTCTGTGTGTGAGAACAATCAGCTTTTATGTGTGGTACGGACATGTTTGCCAGATGTGAAGGGTGTTCTCCTTGCAAAGTTGAGTTCCTGTCCAGAATGCCTCATGCGGGATGGTGGGGACTGGAGCAGTCACTACTCCTCAGGGCTTTGGCAAGGGGGTGGTGATGGCAGCAGTCAGCACCTCTCTGCTGTACTGACTGCCTTTTTGTGAGATAGGACAGTATGTGGAGCACAGTTTGTTGGGTGGAGAGGGTTAGGGTTCCTTCTCTCACAGATTTTCAAGGATCTGTGTTGTGTCTTAGCTTTGCAAAGCTAGTACAGACTCATTAATAACTTGGCTCTTAAAAAAAAATAAGTAGTAGTTCAAAACTGTGTAAGCAGAAGGGGAGTAGCAATACCACTCCAAAGGTGATTTTACTCTTGGTCAGGACTGTAGCAGGGTATTTTCTGGTAAGGTATACTTAGGCTCAAACAACAGCAAAGTATTGGAGGATAAAGAAGACTGATAATTATGCAGAGAAGTAAAATACAACTTAGAAATGTACTCATGACCATGATTACTGATTTCTGAGTTCTAAACAAACTTTTTAATTTTTGTGTGCATTCTGATTCTAAGCCAAAACCAACTAGGGAATTGATACTGTATTCTCCTCTTAATTTTAATCAAGCAAAACTCTCTTGCTGACAGCAACTTGTGGATTTGTTCTTTTTAGGTGGTGAAGACAGATTTGAAGTTGAAAAGGACACTGGCTGGATTAAAACGACGGGTTTGCCGCTGGGCAAGGACAAGGAGTATTTACTGACTGTACTGGCAGCAGATAAACTTGGAAGCAGAGGGTCTCCAGCCTCTGTTTCTGTAATTGCTGGATTTCGGCCACCACAGTTCACCAACATATCATACTTTGTTTATGTTCCTGAAAGTATGCCAAAAGGAAAATCGTAAGTAACAGTTAAAAATAATGCAGTGAGATTGTGTCCTAGTTAGTTTCTTTTTGATCTTTCCAAAACCCCCAGTTTTGTTTATGAATCATAAATACACACTGTGAGTAGAAATTTATATATGTTAATAGAAGTGATCAAGATGTAGAATCCTAAAATTCTCGTATTTAAGTTGGACCAATGATACAAGTACACAGGAAAACAGAGTTGCTGTCATGCTCTGGATATGTGGGCTGATTTAATGCTGCTACTGAGCAGAGGAGCATCACCAGGTCTTTCTCTTTGTTTCGTCTGGCACTAGTGCTAATGTGTTAACTGCAGGGGCAGGCTGATCCTGTGAAAGACTAAGCCAAGAAAAGAAAATAAGTTTTCAGTTGGGTTGTTAAATGTGTTCACAGCATGGCTTTTAGTGCTGTCAGGAGAGGAGAAGTGGCACAAACATGCAGACAGGGTAGGGAGTTAGAAGGAAGGCTGAATAATTCCTGCCAGCAGGAACATGGTCGCTGGCTGAAATTGTGAGACAATATCATAGGAAAATACAGAAAAAGGCTAAAGTGAGATAATGACCAACAACAACCTTTTGTATTGTTTCAGTAGTGCTCCTTAGGGAAGTAAGAAGACAGCAGCGTGGAAATACAATGGGGACAAAGGTGTTTGGACAAACCAAGTTCTGTCTTTTGGATTGTAGTTGTCACTGGATCATACATGTTCTTCTGGGAGATGGAATTCTTTTTCCTAAGAAACCTGCAACAAACACTTAAGGAATTAGTATTCTGTTTTATTTTTAAATTTCTTCTTTTATTTCATACTGCATGTGTTTTTCACACTTGAACTTAAACATATTGGGCTTTCGTAGGAAAAAAAAGTGAGAGGAGCTAAAAACATATGTCCTTTATAACCTGTAACATGCACACTGTTAGTGAGTGGCTTTTATCCTTTTGCAGTTATCTGATGAAGCTTTAGGGATGGTATAAGTGCAACATCAGACTTACTATGCTGTTACTAAAATGAATCTTTCACATCTTGCATTATCTTTTTGTTTTCTGCCTGAAAACCGTCACTGCCATAGTAGAAAGTTAGAGTAGGCAAACTCAGCTGCAGCAAAAACGAGCTCCTCTGTTCCTGCACGTTTAATCCTTATTGTGTTCTGCTTGCAATAATCCTGTTTTTATCTGCTTTTTTTGAACCTCAAGATGATAGAAGTACTGTGTATTGAGTGTTTGAGTTTGGTGTTAAGGTACAGCCATCACTGATCAGACCTGCTGGATTGCACCATAATTTCTGATATGGATAAGTTTTGTCGTATTTTTCAGTGTGTTGCATTCTGTGCTTAAGAGTTTTTTTTTTGTTTGTTTGCTTTGTTTTGTTTTGTTTTTTTAAATGCAGCTTTCTTACAGTCACTGCTGTATCATATCAAAAGAAATCCCTGATCTACAGTTTACTGACTAATCCCAGTGGTCTGTTCAGTATTGATCAGGCAACAGGAGATATCAGTTTAACTCGGAGTGTGGATTATGAGAGTGACCAACACCAGTATCTTCTTTTGGTCAGAGCACAGGAAAATGAGCAGTTCAGCAGTGCAGCAGAGGTACATGTTCACTTCTGGCAGTCTCTATGTATTACCATTTTCCTTCAGCCTTCCAGATTTTGGTACAGATTCCCTAGGGGCTCCTGTTGCCTCAGTTCATGCTGTCTATTCTGTTGTGCATTTTAGAAGTCTCTTTGTCTATGAGAAGTTGTTGATTCTAATTTAAAACAAAGGCAGGACAGAAAATGATTTGTTATGAAGAACACAAAGTGAACTTAGAAAGAGAGAATGTAAAAAAAGCTCACAGGTATTAAAAGATGGTGGTTCATGGTATTCTAGAAAGCTGTTTGACAGCAAAAACATTTCTAAGTATATTTAATACAGTTGTTTGAATTCCAGGATTCACCGAGCTGGGAAATGCATGCAATGTACCAGTTTGTTCCTGCTGCAGGAAATGAGAAGTACACTACTGAGGGAACAGGAGTCAGACTTGGGAAGAAGTGTGAAGACACAGACAGTGAAACAGTGTCTGTGTCAGTGTATCAGTGACTGTAGCACACCAGAGAATGGTCATTTTTCTTGAGTGTTTTATGTACTACAGGATGAAGAGTGGTGGAATATGACTTGAAAGAAGATTATGAAATGATTTTACAAATACATTTAGCCTAAACATAGTTTAACATGTAGCTGCTTTACACTGATACGACCATGGTAGTTAAGAGAGAGCAAGTCCCCGGTTATACGAACCTGTGTAAGGGTAGATGGTGTATGCATCTGCCAGTTGCACTGTAGTGCAGAATACCTTAACCAACTTCTGACAGTCTCAAGTGTAACAGTATGAACTGCCATAAAGGCTAATTTAACTCACTCCTTACTGTTTGGATTGTAAACAATCCAACTGTGGACTCATATTTGACATAGGCATAAGAAAACATTTTAAAAGATGTTACAAGCAGAATTGTATTTCTTGTTTTACCACAGTCTGTTCCACTTATGTCTAATAAGTCTAATGCTGCTAAATCCAGAACTTGGTCTTGAAGATTTATACTGCTAAAATGTAATATGCTTGGTAGTAGAATCATTAGTGTTACAAATTACAGAAGTGTTGGAAGATAAGATAATGGGAAAAGGATGTTTGGAAAGCAGAAAGTCCATTTTCTTTTAAACTGCTAATGGAATAATCAGCAGAGATGAAGGGTAAGTGGAGAGTGTTGCTGCAAGGGACTTGGCAATTAGAAGTATTTTGAAATCTAGTATTTCTACGTTTCTCAGAGCAATCTAAGAAAAATGGCTTATCCTATGTGCTAGAGCTTCTGAAGACCTCAAGGAAGTTCTTCGGGCTGATACTTCTAAAGCAACAAAGTTGTTGCCTCAGTTTACTTTGCTGTTTAACATTTTTCTCTTCTCTATTAAGGTTTTGATTGTAATCACAGATGTGAATGATTGTGCCCCCGAATTTCATCAGTCAATTTACAGCAAGGTTGGTGTTCCTGAAACAGTTACTATGACAACTGCACTTCTACAAGGTTAGTGCTTCTAAAACGATTTGTTACGTTCAGTATGAGTATTGACATTTTCTTCCCACTAATTAGACTTCAGTTCAGAAGGCAAAATTGCCTGCCCTAGCATGGGTAGTTGCAACTCTCTGAAGACAAATGGCACCAGGTAGAATTGGGTCATGATTATTTGCTGCTGCTACGGCCCCAATAATTTTGAGGGACAGATGGCAAAGGAAACAAATCTTCTTTGTGTGATTTTGAGGTAACAGGACTTCAGTTGGGGTTAGTATTATAGCAGCAGGCTTATAATAGAAATTTTGCAACGTTTCTTCTCTTGAAGGAAGAGAATGATGTTGGACCAGAAATTACAGACACATCACCTCACCTTCCCTGCCTGTCTTAATTCAAGAGTCCTACATGAGCTTACTGTAGGATACACTGCTTTTTCGCATTAAAAGCCTCTTGTGTGGTTTAACTGGTTTGTGGGAGGTTTTGTTTAGGTGCTTGAGAAAAAGGCTTTGCTTCTTCCCAATGTGACCAGTAGCTTAAGCTTTACATGATGATGCTTTGTAAGTTATGTAACTTTGGCTTTGTATGCTGCAAAAATCTTATGTTGAAAATGTTTATAAAGAAATGAGCAGATTCTAGCAATAAAATTTATGTCAACTAAGCAGTTGTACAAGGGCCTTGTATTAGTATTTAACCCTTACACAACCTTTTTATAACTCTTGGGGGGGAGGGGGAATTAAACTAGTGGAAAATTGCTGTTCCCTAGTAAATAGGATTTTATAGCATCTACTATTCTACTTAGTGATTTATCTTGTAGTAATGGAAGTCTGTAAGTTACAAGTCTGGTAACTGCTTTTTCAGCATAGGGTTTTGTAGGTTATGGGTAGGATCTGACAAACACATAACATGAGGCAGTTTAATATATATAAATATTTCATATTAAATCACACGGGGTGTGATCTGTTCGAGCGATCTTAAGTCAGCAGTATAGATTAGGTGGACAGGAGAATATGTATCTCTGTGTGGAAGCAGGTTCTTGGTAGTGCAGGGCTCTTTAAATCCAGCAAGGGCAAGCTTTACCAGCTGAATTCAACCAGAGACTTTACTTTCTTTTTTTTAAACAACTTATTTCCAGTAAGGGTTAGTTCAGTAAAAAACACAGGGCATGGCACAGTTTTATAAATTATTTCAAGCACCGCATGGCAAGGCAAATGCTATTGCTGTTCTGTACTACACAGTAACTCTCTTGTTGTAGTACTTAACATTCCAGGTTGCAAACTTTGATCTACACAATGTCTTTCGTTTTTAATAGTGACAGCCACTGACTGCGATTCAAAAGAGAACGCCGAATTGCTGTATTACACTTTGAGTCAAGACTTCAGTATTACTTCTCATGGTACTGTTTTTCCAGCAACACGGTTGGACTATGAGCGACCTGACCATCTGTATGAGTTTATAATTATGGCTGTAGATAAAGGAGAAGAGCCGAAGACTGGGACAGCAACTGTTAGGATCCATGTTTCAAATGTGAATGACGAAGCACCTGAGTTTTCTCAGACAATGTAAATATCTGTAAAGACAACTCTGTTATCTTTGTCTTTTACTGTTGCTTTCTATGTTTTGGTTAAAAGGCTTGTCATTACAGGAAGGTAACTGGCTTCAGTTTAGTCAGATCTGAGAGTTGGACTGACAGATGTGGGTTGATCTTTTGACTCTGAGGCTCTCTTATTACCAGAAAAAAGAAGTATGGTTCTTTCAGAGTACAGTAGGACATACGTATCTGCCTAGATAGAAGAGGTAGTATATAGAGAGTCTCTTTGAACAGATCTTGCATTTAAGTTTTTTCCAGTATGTACTGAAAAAGGTGGTGCAGTATTTTCAGATTATACATTTCAAGGGGACTCCACCACCAGCAAAGGAAATCAAGCAGAAAAAGCAGGCAAGTCAGTGTTGTCCTCAGCCTTCGTCCAGAGTACATGGTGGAATTTTGCCTTGTAATTATGCAATTTAAGCTTAGACTCAACAGTCTGCATCCCTGGTTTATAATTGTAGAAGAAAAATGCTTTGACGACAGAATCCTATATGACCACTGAATTATAAAAACAGCAAATAAATGTCGATAAGTGGAGTTCACTTAATTTCACCCAGTCCCGTGACCTAAAAAGTACATTTCCCCCCTCCTCCCCTTTCTAAAGCATCAGTAAGCATTTTTCTTCCATTGTTAGGGCTCAGAAGTGTCTGAAGCAATGTCATAAGTACTATAAACTTGCATTCATGTTAGAGGCTTAGTAATGGAATTCCCAGTCAGCTTCTACATCAGTCTTCTACTTACTAAAACTAGAAGTTGCTCAGGACAAAATGCCAGCAGAGATTTCATTGGTGCTAAGCTTGTGGTTTAGGTGAACAAAATATCAAAGCTTTCTGACAGTCAGTCCTTTATGTGAAGGGAACCTCTGGCTTCAAAATCTTGTGTGTTCCTTTCTTTCCTAAACATTGCTTAGGAGATACAGCTTGGAAAAATTGATCTTCTATAAATTCTTATTGGATGTCTATGCATTTTCAAACACTAAACCCAGTTAAGTTTATCACTCTTAAGGTGATGCCTATTTTTGATTTATTTATTTGTTTTGATATTCAGGGTAATTGCATATTTATCTGTTAGTCATGGATCTGTTTCTAATTTTTTAATCAGAAATGAGTGGTAGTATTAAAGATGCTGTAAACGTTTCTTAAGAAATTGAAGCAGAAAACATAGTTTAAACAGAACACCCTGCCAGCTCTTATATTTAAAGAAAAACATGATTAAAATGAACATTATTTTAAATTACCAAACATTCACAAGAAGCTTTTCTGTTTCCTATGCAGTAACAGCAGGGGAACTGTATGTGTGTATGTATAGATTGGCACAGGAATTGAATTCAGCTCCTGGAATTCAAATTATCTCAAGTTCTTGTTTAACCAGGTTGACCAGTCTTTTGATTTTGCTGTATCTTTCCCATTATGAAAAAATCCTGAACCCAAAGGTGAAATTCAGAACTTAGTTGAAGTTTTCTGCAGAATAGATTCATCATGAAGACTTGTAAATTAGGTCCTGTTGAGAGACTGGTTTGCAATTACTGCAGTGCTCTGTGGCAAGTGAATACAAATCAAGATGCTGCTGCTGTCCTTGTAGCCCTTTGTTTAAATAGATTTACAGTCCAGCATAAACTTGTGATTCCTTGCCGTGAGCTTTCTTTCATCATGATTATTCTTTATCTCAGTTACGAAATGCTGAAGGCTAGCACTGTGTTTCATTTTGTCAGTTTTTACTTTCTCCTTTTTAAGAGACCTCTTATGATGACTTGAACACTTCTGTCCTTATATTTCATGTTCAAAACTACAAGAATTACTGTTAAGTTGCTTTCCAGATGCAGAATTAAGACGGTGTCCCGAGGGTTGTGACTGAATTAAACGAGAATAATATACTTCTCTTACTTCATTGCATATTAAATTGGGAGAAGAAAAATGCTGTTTCTGCAAAGGTTTTGATGAGAACACACATATCTAGACAACAAAAGCTAAGGGAGAGGTTTTCTGTACGTCCATTTTCTTTGAGTTTTTCTGTTCTCAACATATGGAGAGTGGGTCCATAAGCCCTCTGAACCCAGCAGCGCATGCATATTTTATCTGTACCGTTGTACAGCCAGCTGTAGTTCATTCTTAAGGCTGAGCTTTGGGATATCTATTACGGAGCGGTCTGTAGTATGCTTTAGGCTGGCCTGTGCTCAATCCAGTCAGATAAAATAATACGTATTTGGGACTTTGCTAAAGCAGGGGGCTTTTGTACTCCAGAGAGCTTAGGCTGATAATGCCTCTTAAGAGCTTATGATGTCAGTGATGTGTCTGGACTTGACATTTTTGTAAAAACTGATGTTGCGCGCACATCCTTCAGATCTGATTCTCATCTTAGTCTTGCTGGTGCAAAGAATCATTTTGAGAATTTGTGTCAGAAAACGTGCTGTGATGAGCAGTGCTTTAACTTGGCAAATGTTTGCTTCGATTCTGTGAATCATGCAGCTCATTTTTTCAATTAAAATAAAAAAGCAAATTCTGCGTTTAGCACAAATCTTGTTGCAAAGCTGAGCTTCAGAGCTTCAGTACTGCTGAAAGTTTGCGATGGAAATCTGTGGGAGGTAACAACAGAAAGACATGGTTGGGCAGATCACCAGTACTAACATTTCACTGGTTACCAGAAGCATCCTATCAGTGTAACTGTATTAATAAACTACAAATCTCTGCAGTACCCTATGCTCAGGTAGTCAGTAGGTGTTGTAAAGCACAGTTCTATATATATTATTTGCTGTCTAAATTAATAAATATGTTATACTAATTTTTTTTTTTAACAGCTACAGGAGTTTTGTTTCTGAAGATGCAGGCCCAAACACACTGATTGCTACAGTTAATGCCATTGACCCTGATGGAGATGGTGTGACATATGATATTCTGTCTGGGAATCAAAAAGGAAACTTTGTTATTGACAATAAGAAAGGTAATAACATACGAGCTTTTTGCTGGTGCAATTATAATGTTGATTCTGATCTGATACAGCTTGAATTTGGTCTTCATTTGGTGTCAATTATGAAAGCTGAATAGTGTATTCTATTTATGAAGCTAATACCTAATTTTAAAAAGTGCAGGAAAAAGACACAATTGATCTCGAGTTTCTTATAATATTTAAAAAATTATATTATTTTCATAAAAGCTTTGTATAACTGACCTATCTTACTTGTTCATTGTTTGCTTTTGGTCAGTAGCTTAGTAGAGAGCATTATTCTAGATAGCAGATAACTTAATAGTAACTAAATAGAGAATGTTATTATTGATAACAGTGTGACATTCCAAATGTCAAACAAGGATATGAGTAACATTTAATCTAGGAAAGTAGTTTCAAAGTTGCGTTATTCACATGAGTGTTATTACTTAGGCAAGAATACTGCATGCATGAGTTAAAAAAATACGTGTGAAGAATACTTTGTGGTTTAACTCATTTGTTCTGAAATAGCAGATTTCACATCTTTCAAAATTCTTCTCAGCAGTTGCATATTTTTAAAACCCCAAAAGAAAAAGTCCCACAAAATTGATGTCCTTATTAAAAGAAATAATTAAAAAATGCACAAACACACATTATCTGAGCAGGTTGGCATATGCCTGTAAATTAGTAGGACTTATTTGCTGATGATTGCTTGAAAAAAAACGGAAGAGGATGTTTTGGGGCAGAAATAGTCCTTCAAATTGAAATCCTACTGAAGGACTGAAGTAACTTAATTAACTTCATTTAAACTACGTTCTGTTTAACCTGTTTTGAACTGCAGTCAAAATCTGAACTTCTGTTTTTCAAAGCATAAGTATTGAATATATAGGCTGGAGTAAGCTGCTGTACGTAATTCCTCCTCTTTATTTCACAGAGTTCACTTGGTAGGAGATATTAGTTTCAGTGCAGATCACATTTTTGCAATATTCATATTAGATTTGAAATGTTCCCAAAAATATGGTCTGCAGAATTTGCAAGTGTTGAAACATGATCCCGAATTTATTGAGAGCTCCTTTTATCCTTTCTGAGTTAAAACTAGAATTGTAGGTTCCGAGAGTTAAGTTTCTAAAGGTGTTTTGGTGCATGAAGGACTAATGGTTTTAAAAGTGTCTAACTGCCATGGGGGTGTAGTGTATCTGATCCTCCTGAATATCTGTATTGTAAGTGCTCAATGAGTCTTAACATTTGTTTGAGAGCATTTCTTAGGATTAGCTCCATGGTTTTAATATAAACATATATATGTACTTTTATACTTTTTTACCAATTAATTTTTATAGTCTTTAAAACTTAATTTTAGAAACATAATTTTTTGGCTTTTGTTGCTTAATAAACCGATAAGGGTTATAGAGTGGCTTGTAGCATTTTCTTTTCAGAAGTGATGTCAAGGGAATAGTCTGTACCCCATTGCTGCAGAAATGCCAAGGTAAAGTGGAGATCTGTCAAATGTAAGTGCTGCAGCTGAAACAAGACATTTGCAAGCAAACTGAGTGACATTGATGCTGTGACAATACTGTTGTAATGACAGTTGCTGTTATGCCTGATGAATAACAGAGGTGATTGATGGATGATGGAGCAAAAGGATGACAGCTTCTTACTGCATGGTCCCAGATAGCTGTAGTCTCTTTTTCTTTTGTAGCAAATCTTTCATACGTCTTTCTCTGACAGCGCCTTTATGTCCCACCCAGCATTTGGGTGGCTTGGGAGAGTAGCAGAACATAGGTGGGATAAATGCTGCTGTGCTTGTGCTGCAGGAAGGAAAACTTGAGCTAGTTTGTTTACATAAGCTACAGCAGCAGACACAGTGCCACATGCTTCATTGCAGTAATGATACAGGAACACAGCCCGGCTCATTAATGGGGCAAGCCCAGGTAAAACACAAGTCTGGCACAATGATTTTCTGGGTTTTTGTTTTGCTTTGTTTTTTTTGCAGCAGATACTTAAAAGTTAATAAAAAGTTAATATGTGGAGGTCAGCTGAGTTGTAGCTGTCATCTCATTTAGCTCTGTAGACAAACCTGCAGAGAAGCCTGGTGTGCTGTCTTAGTTTTGTGTTCATATCAGACTGCAGTAAAAATACCATGGTGAAATTGAACTGTAGCAGCTTTGCAGTTTATTGGTGAACAGGTAAACCAGAGTGGTTTGGTGTGGTGCTTACTAGTGAAAATAACTGTAATTGGTTAATGGAGTAAAAAATTTAAACCAAACAACCTGTTGTTTTTACAGGGCTAGTTAGACTTCGTTCAAGTCCGTTTCCTAAGCTGCAGGGAACAGAATATGTACTTAATGTCATAGCTACTGATGATAATGCCTCTGGAGGGCCCCATTCTCTTACAAGTACTGCCCAGGTTGTTGTGAAAATTGATGATGTCAACACAAACAAACCTGTCTTTCAGAAGGTAAATATATGATGCTTGGTCATTTGTATTAGACTGTGTGGTAAATGCGTAAGATCGTGTTGTTGCTACAAGTGATGCAGCAGCTGAGCTATTCAAGAAGTGGTCACTTCCATCTCTCCTGGAGGCCTGATGCCGTTGTCTTCTCTGTCTTTTCCATCCCTCTCCTAAGATTTACAGGGTCTATTGGCAGAATAGCTCCTTGTGAGCACTGTCTCTTCCCTGAACCACATCTCTGGCATTTTAGAAGATGAAGTTGAGTGAATAACTGTTGGACCCATGTTCAGTGTGATGTGTGAGGAGGAATGGATAGGTATAGCTTCCTATGCAGTGGACTTGTTACAGGATATTCCAAAACACCACTCTAAATTACATGATGATTGTTTGTCTGGAACTGATGAAGGAGAGAAAAATAAAAGTGGATTTTTATCTTAATTTGTTAAGTACTATAAAAAATAAATGCTTGAATAAGTTTTCAGAATGTTAATTCATATTAAAGATCTGTTGTCTAAAAATTAAGTTGGATGCTGATAGCTGAAATGCAGATGGACAATGCTGCATATTTTGAAGAATCAGTGACTATCAATGTTACTCTTGGGAATTCTCAGTAATCTGTCCCCAGCAAAGTTACTTTGTGTTTAAATCCCTTTTTGAGAAAAGCCATTCTGTGGGCTGGGCAAGCGTATGCCCTCTTTTTTATAATATATTTGCTAATATAGAGCAGTATTTGCATTTGGAAAGTAACTGTACCCTTTTGTCCAAGTATTTTCGTTAGTTGGAGATGCTCAGTGGCCTCATGTTACATGTTACAACTGTGAAATAGCAACTGAAGTCTGTAAATTAGTCACAGTACAGATAAAACATTAATATCAGTGCATGTGTATGGAAATGTAGCTAAAGCTTTTTTCCTTCCCCCTCCTCTATATCCTTAAATCAAACAGCATGGTAAGTCCTTGGGTTTTTTGTGCTTTTTTTTTTTCCTCCCTTCTCTTAGTGTCAGTATTATCAGAAACATGCTTCTGTACTGGAAAACCAGCCTTCAGGGACAGTTGTGCTGCAGGTTGAAGCTACTGATGCTGACGAAGGAGCCAACGGTCTAGTGAAATATGGCTTGGTGCAGAGAGGTGGTGTCCTGCCAGCATTTAGTATTCATCCTGACACAGGTAAAGCGAGTAACAGAACTGATACCCGCATATAGAAACCTCTTTCTTACACTGATGTAAAAAAACCTACCTTAGGTAAAATCATACTTCATGCTTTTTCATTTAGTTTTTTGATAGCAGGCAAAATAGAAATTGCATTAACTGCCTGAACAGGTATTCTGTGAAAGCAGAAGTGTCCTACATGTCCAGAACTGAAGCAGAAGGAATGTTTTTTTTGAAATGTGGGAATTCTGCTGTGTGAAACAATGACTTGTCTTTTTTTTGTAACTGGATTTTAAGGAACCATGTTTAAAGTGTACATTTTATTGCAACATTGTTAATAGCATATTATATTTATCCAAATGACAGTAGTCTTACAAACAGAAGGAGACTACGTCTTCGAAGGTCAAAACTAAATTCAGGCTGAACTTTTGGAGAATGAAAGACACAAAGCATGACTTTTCCCTGTCCTTGCTGCTCTTCAAAAGAAATATTTATTTCTTGTTGTATGTTTATTTAATATGTTTCATTGTATGACAGGCAAATAAGCATCTAAATGTAGAATGTAGAGTATTTTAACTCTCTGGTATTTCATATGTTTTCAGGTGTACTGGCAACTGTTCAGGTATTTGATCGAGAAAAGCAGAGGGAATATCCTGTCACTGTGACAGCAACAGATCAGGCAGCGGAACCGCTCACTGGAATATGTCAGATAAATATTATCATCTTGGACCAAAATGACAATGATCCCAGATTTGAAAACACTCGTTATGAATGTAATTGAGAGTCATGGAATAGCGTTTCAGTGCCCTGAGTGTGAGCTTACCTGATGTGTTGTCTTTCCTGGCAGTAGATCACATGTCCAACTAGGTGATTGCAGCCAGAGATGGCACCTACCTTAATTGTAACTCAGTGTAATGTTCAGTGTAACAAGCAAAGTGTTGGCTCGTAGGCTTTTCCTGAGTGTCATTATGTGAAAATTCCTTGAAACAATAGCCATGTCAGTACCTTTCCTTACCTGACTATACCAAATGTCTGTGGTACCACACAGAGATGTGAAAGGTGCAGTAAGAACATGAGTGTGCAGTGCTGAGCACTGTGTATCCTTTGTTTTTTGATTAATAGGTTTTTGTCATGACTTCTGATTACATACTTTTCCCATTTGAATTTTGTAATTCTTCACTGTTTGTTATTCTACTTCGCCTTCTTGGTTTCTCAAAAAACCCTTCCTGTTTATGGATGAACACCCAGAAGTGTTCATAAACAAATGAAGACTTAAAATTCTTGGTTAGTTATACTAGCTGAATGAGAAATGAGACTGAATTATCAGTCTTCTCAGTTAGTATAACTAACTCAGTTATAGTTATACTAAGTCCTAGAAAGTAGTTTCTGACAATGTGGACCTTTTCTTCTAGCTTTATGCAATAAATGAATATTCCATTGTTGTATATTTCATACAGAGTGATTAGTCCCGTAGTACAATTACAAGACCAAAAAAAAGTAGTATCTGTAAGAAATAAGAATTCCAGGTTATTAATGTGGTAATAAGAAGTTCAGATGTGATCCATAGCTCTGGAGTGATAGCAGCTCTTTAATATACTCAGTTTGATGCTTATGGCCATTGTTCCAAGGAAAATACAGTTATAGCTTCCATTCATTATTACTTCAGTATTTCTTCCTTTCTTAGTAAGATGTTCATGGTACTTCGGGAATTAATGATCAGTTTGAAATATCCTTTCCTTACATTAGATTTCCTAAGAGAGGACACAAGAGTTGGGACCAGCTTTCTTCGTGTTGCAGCCCATGATGATGACTACAGCTCCAATGCTGCCATTACATATTCGATAGCAAATGAAGAACCAAATTATTTACAGATTAATCCTACTACAGGCTGGGTGTTCGTGAACCAACCCATATCTCAGGTATGGTGCTCACTTTCCTTTTTAAGCTGACTGTTTCAGTATAACGTAGGAGGGACTCAGGTTACGAGTTTGTGTTCAAACTCCCCTTCACATTAAAGGATCAATAAGTTATGTTCAAATTAAACATGAATTTAAGGCTTTTAGCTGATGAGTTCATTGACTGTGAATTGCATGTAAGCAAGCACTGCTTTCAGCTGGGAAAGTAGCACCTGATAGCATTGCCTCTGAGAACTTGTTCTTCCAGTTTCATTAGCTTTGGCATAGTAATACCAAGGACTGGAGGGCTGAGACCATAAGCAGAGGAGCAAGAACCCAGGTGTAGGACTTCAGTCTGTTAACAGGCAATGAATTAAGACACAAACCTGACAGTGAAAGAGGGTGAAACCTTACTTCTGATACAGATTCTCAACTTGATTCATTTTAGTCATGGTGGACTAAGCTGTCCCTTAGGAAGGCTGAATGCATAACAAACAAAATTGTTGCATGTAGATACCTAAAATCTGTCAGTTTCATCCATTTCTAAATACCTACATAAGCAGTTTGATATTTTCAGAGTTGTAACATAATTTGTGTTGAAATGAAAATACTGTTGTAGATGTTAATCTTTAAATACCTAATAGATATTTTTAGTATAGAATTTTAACTTCTATGCTTCTTGGTGTCTAACTGACGCACAAGACTTTGGTGAAGGTGTACCTTTTTAACGTATTTTCTTTATTGAATCTAAGAATCCTGCAGACCTAATAACAAAACCTGTTGATATGTATGCATAAGAACTCAGGGGCTCCACAAAGTTCTTTTTTCTTTGTTTTGTTTTCAGCTTTCTGTAAAATTTGCTAAGATATATTGAGACAAATAACATTTTCCAACAATCTTAAATTAAGCAGAGAGCAGAATTTAGAGCAACCTTGCACCTACTTCATATTCTGAGCTCAGTATTCTGCAGTAGTGGATGATTTTATACTGTGCAGGTTTTTAAAGTGTGCCTTTAGTTTTGTGTATTCATCTATTTTGGGAAAAAAAAAAACCCCAAACCCAGACTCACTGTAGCCCTGATCAAAATCTCTGTAACAAAACCTTTTTTACTGTTCAGAAGTCATCTATAATTCGAGAGATTATTGCTACAGATGGAGGTAATAGGAGTAGTAAAGTTGACCTTGCAGTAACTGTTACCAGTGCAAAAAACCAGCCTCCACAGTGGGAAAGAGACAGCTATGAAGTTGTTATTCCAGAGAACACGACACGAGATGCATCAATTTTGGTAAGGTTGGGACAGATTTGTTTGTCTGTATGTAGCTCTAAGGCTATAGAGTAACTTAATGTTGCTTATTTGCTTCTGTGTTACCTGAGGTGATTATTTGGCTTAAAGTACTTTAAGTACTTTAAGTTTGATTGCTTGGAATGAGTAATCAAAACAGCTTTATGAAGTAACTCTAAAATACATACTTTTAGGACAAAAGCATGAGTAACCAACCATGTAATGATTGTCTGTGGCCTGGCTGTTTTCAGGCAGGGTTAGGATTTGGTATCAGGAAGTGCTTGTCCTAATGTTTTCAGCCGTTACCTGAAGATTTGAGAGAGTCAATACACAAAAGCTTTTTGAAATGTTGCTGTACTTACAAAACTTTTCAAACTGTGCAGACAATCAAAGCAACTTCTGCCCTTGGTGATCCCCGTGTGACTTACAACTTAGAAGAGGGACTTGTTCCAGAGACCAACATGCCGGTTCGTTTCTACCTGACTCCAAACAGACATGATGGTTCTGCCTCAATCCTGGTAGCTGAGCCACTAGATTATGAAACAACAAAGAACTTTCTGCTGAGAGTTCGAGCACAGACTGTTACTACAGTTCCTCTGGCAGCATTCACTACAGTCTATATTAGTGTAACAGGTGTGTAAGCTGTTCAGTGATGTTATAATCATAGTACTTTTGTTTCTTCAAAGTTTTATACTTCTACTTATGCATTCTTTTTGATGTTTTAGATGTCAATGACAATGTCCCATTCTTTACTTCACCTATTTATGAAGCCTCAGTATCAGAAGGAGCTGGTGTTGGGACATTTGTTGTTCAGGTGTCTGCCATCGACCTTGACTTTGGTCAGAATGGTGAGGTAAGCAAGTGGGGATCTACGTCTCCCATGATGAAAGGTATGGAATAACTTCTGTGTGGACAACAGCTAAACAGACTACAAGTCTTCAATCTAGAAAAGGGATGATTAATAGGGAAACATGAGACGAAATCAAGTTGTTAATAGCGTGTTTCTTTGTCTTGCCATGTGAAAAATGCAATTAATACTAGTAGGTGTGAGACAAAATGAAATATATTTATATCATATGTAGTTCAGCTAAATAACTTGCTGTAGAATGCTTTTATTTGGAAAGGTCTACACAGACCTAAAATGTGATTGGATAAATTAATGGAGGAAAAATGTGTGTTAAAAGCTTCAGTGAGTTGTAAATCATTGGGAGTAATGAAAACTGAATCCTTACAAAATATGTCCAGTTAACATCAAAAGTAGATGTATTTGTTACTGTTTTTAAAAATGGAAAGTAGTTACATCCTTCGAACAAGAGTGTAAGCTGAAGACAAGTGCACAGTAAGATACATATAAGGGACTAGAACATGGTCCATTTTACTGAACAAGTACAAATTTAGCTCACCTGTGGCTATTATATTACTACCTAGGTTAGCTGCGTTTGGGTGCTGTTGCACAAGCTCTGTGCAAATATCAACTAGTGAACTTGGGAACTGGTTAGACAAGACAAATTTATTGCCTTTACAAATTGGCTGTCAACGTGCAAGGAAGTTAATTGACTTCAAACTTGATTGCATGAGCTGGCAGCTTCACATGGCTTTCTTGTCCCTGATTAAGTTCTCAAACATGGTACTGTTCTTCCTCTCTTTGACTGCTTACTTACTTGTCAACTAGCCAACTAAAGGAAAGTACATATTAACAACTTTTTTTTTAATCCTTTAGGTAACTTACTCCATGTTACATGACAGTAGCAGAGACTACACATATTTTCGCTTGGACTCATGGACAGGTTCAATATACACTGCCTCATTGTTTGATAGAGAGAAGAAGGTGTCCTATCTTCTAGAAGTCAAGTCAGTAGATGGCTGTGAGTCAGCTCGACCTGGAAAACATGGGAAGCCAAACTCTGGTAAGAGACAGATGTCTGTGGCAGGCATTATTTTACCTGGATCCGTCTCTGAAAACAGAAGCTTGAAATACAAGACGAGATGTTCATTGCCCTTTTTTCAAGTGTACTTGTGAAAGTGTCCATTGTTGTGGTTTTAGGTTGGTTTTCATTTTCTTTTTTACTGTTTGTCTGTGCAACAGTTCTGTCGTAGCTGGAAGAGATACTTCATATGATGAGCAAGCAAGTTTTTTGTTCTGGAATTAAAAAGAAAACTAGGGCTTCTAGAGAGTATTTCCAAGCTGGTAAAGGTTCACCCATTATCCTTAGGATGTAGATCTTTGAATAGTAGAAGTATTTCTTAAAGCACTGCATAAGGTGCTGTACTCAGTCTAAAGTAATTATTAAGTATGAAGCATGAAAGTTCAAGGTAGAAAATCCCATTCTCAGTTGATGGCTGTTTTTAAAGACAGACTTGAAATTTGGCTTTTGTGGCTTCAGGAAAAAAAGTTATGACTAAAAACTGTACAGTTGCCATATTAGACATCAGTTATTCAAATATTATCTGTTTAAACATATTGGATGTGACATTCGTTTGATATCCAAGTGCTTTTGCGTAATGTTGGTATATATATGGCCCACAACCCTAAGGGTTTTTTTCTGTATTGTCTGCATATTTGTCTTTATTTAATGTGTGTCTGGACAGCTTAAGGAATTGTAGCTGACAGAAGTGGCACAGATGAGTATTATAATCTCTTGTTTCTTGCCTCTCTAGACACTGCCTACGTGCACATTTTTATCACTGATGTGAATGATAACAAGCCTGTGTTCACTCAGAGTGTCTATGAAGTAAATGTGGATGAAGACCAGGATGTGGGCTCAACTATCATTACAGTCAGTGCTAGTGATGAAGATGAAGGTAAAGTATTGGAATTCCCAATAGCTGTGTCTAGAATATTAATGAGTTAATTTCAGCACACCAAGACATAGTTAGTGGTTTTAGAAAGGAAAATGTCTTTTTGTCTCTAGATTTTTAAACTTCTTTAAGTGTGAACTGATCGGGCATGAACATTAGTTCATAATGGAGCTGCAAGGCAGAAGTCAAATAGCTCTTATTTCGGGAGGCGATGCATTAATGTGGGATGATGGGGAATAATTTCTGTGCCAACAAATACAAATTTATAATAGATCATATAATTTTCTTAAAAATGGGCACCAATAAAAATGTCTTGGTTAACTAGAATGAATCAGACTTTATTTCAGTGGGATTCATTTGCTTTCTCTATGAACAGTATAGTTGTATTCTCTGTCTCTTTTCTCTTTGTACTCATTCTCATATTTGAGTCTAGACTTCCTAGAATGAGTCCAGAATGGTTACGATATGAAGTATTTTATGATAACTCACTATTACGTGCTGGGTGTTAGCAGATAAGAGTTTGTCTTTTTGGTCCCATAGCCTTGGCCAGTCATATTGATCCTTCAGTGAATCTGAGGGATCATAAGTAAAAGCAGAATTAGTACTTCATTGCAAAGACACAAATTACAGTTGGACATACCAGAATTGAAAATGCTGGTAAGTAGTCTGACATAGCTGCATGTTTTAAAAGACCACAAAACTGTAATACCAAAAGTCAGTTCTTGTATGATTTGTACTTCCTCTTAGCATTCCATGTTTCATCTGCTTCAAGAAATGTGTGTTTTCTGACACTGTTGGTAATTGACAGGAACAAATACTAAATTACAGTATCAGATCACAGCTGGGAACACAGGAGGAGTCCTTGGTGTAGAATCAGAAACAGGAGCCATTTTTATTGCCCAACCACTGGATTATGAAGAAACAAAAATGTATGAGATTCGCATGTTGGCCTCTGATGGGAAATGGGAAGACTATGCAGTTATCATCATCAATGTCATGAATAAAAATGATGAGATTCCAGTTTTCTTTATCAACGAATACTGTGGAAGTATAATTGAGGAACTGGATGGATTACCAGTCTTTGTACTTCAGGTAGTGTATATATATAGAGAGAGATTATAATATTTCAGTGAAAGAGCACAGATTACTGGGCTAAAATTATGTTAATAATCCAAAAGATATATATTAATGAAATCTAGTTTCACTGAGTTTTTCTGTCAGTGGAAGAAGAGAAATGGACTTTTATGGAAAAATAATTACAAAGATATTAAGTAGGATAAGCAGGATGGCTTAAAATCCTAAAATGTGATCCTAAAAAATGAATCATTATCATTTTAAAGTAGCTATCAGAATAGCATAGTTGAATCACCTCTAAAAATACGAAAAATAAAATATGATTGTAGTATTAGAATAGCTACCTTCTTATTGTGGTGCAAAGTACATTTACCTACCTGAATTGTCCCTCAGCCACCTTCCATTTGCCATTCTTCTGGTATGCACATACTAATAGCATGTTACCCACTTTTGCTTGGGCTCCTTTAGACTCTAGCAGCACATAGGATATAGTGAAATATTTACATATTATATAATTTCCATGTCCTTGTTTTCAAAACTTTTGTAGGTTATGGCAAATGATCCTGATAGCGATGCGGATGAAGGAGATTTGAGGTACTCACTGCATGGGCATGGTGCAGCTGATACTTTCACAATAGATGAGAGAACAGGCAGCATTTATTCCAACAAGATGCTGGATCGGGAAGAGAGAGCAGTGTGGAGATTTGTTGTATTGGCTACGGATGAAGGTGGAGGAGGACTTACGGGATTTGCTGATGTAACTATTAACGTGTGGGATATAAATGACAATGCACCCATGTTCTCCTGCATGCCTGATGATTGCAATGGGAACGTCTTGGAAAATCCTCCTGCAGACACGTTAGTCATGGAAATGGGTGCTGTCGATCGTGATGATCCAAATGTAGGTCTTAATGCTGTCCTGACCTACAGGATAACAGAGAATGTAAGAAATGAGTTTGGTGCTGACATGTTTAATATCAACCCCGATACTGGTACGATCCACGTAGTGGGGGGAATGCTAGACAGAGAAAGGAATGAAAATTACTTTCTTACTGTTGAAGCAAGAGATGGGGGAGGGCTAACAGCAACAGGCACTGCCACTATCTGGATTGTAGACATCAATGATCATGTACCTAAATTCACAAAAAATGTGTGGCAGGCAGTAATTCCTGAAAACAGTGCCATTGACTCAGAAGTGCTGCAGGTGTGTGCTACAGATGCAGATGTTGGGGAAAATGCCAACTTAATATTCAGTATCATCAGGGGAGACCCAGATCAGAAGTTTTATATTGGGAATGACGAAGAATGGCAATGTGCCACTATTCGACTGAAAAAAAAGTTGGATTTTGAGAATGCACATGAAAGGCAGTTTAATCTTACTATTGCAGTGGAAGATCTTGATTTTTCTAGTATTGCAGTGTGCCTGATTGAAGTTGAAGACTCTAATGACCACAGCCCAGTTTTCCTTTCCCAGTTTATTCAGACAAGCCCTTTCTTTGAAAACATGCCTGTAGGTACTACAGTAAGCACAGTGAGAGCTACAGACAAGGACTCTGGTTTGAATGGGAACATTATATATTCTATAAAGTCAGATTCGGATCCTATGAGAGAGTTTGCGGTTGACCAATATGGTCATGTGGTTGTGGCCAGTACACTAGATCGTGAAGTCATTCAGAAATACAGTTTAATTGTACAAGCTTCAGATCAAGGGACACCTGCCCGCACTGGAAGTGTTACGGTTCTGATTAACTTGCTTGATGTTAATGACAATGGACCACGGTTTGAGGCACCGTATATGCCTGTAGTTTGGGAAAATATATTGAAGCCTGAAACAGTGTCAATGAACCATACATCAAAACTGCTGCATGCGTTTGATCCAGACAGTGAGGAAAATGGGCCACCCTTCGTGTTTTCACTGCCACCAGATTATCAGAGTTCTTTGGATTTTTCTCTTACTGACAACAGAAATAACACAGCAACTGTAACTGCTTTGAGGTCCTTTGACAGAGAAAAGCAGAAGGTGTTTCATCTGCCAATAGTTATAACAGATAGTGGGATTCCAGCTATGAGCTCTACGAGCACCCTAACTATAACAATTGGTGATGAAAACGACAACTGCCATGAATCTGGCCATAAGGAAGTCTATGTGTACAGTTACAAGGGTAAGTGCTATCTGGATATTATATCAGATTCATGAATATAGTACAGTTTTACACACAATTTCTCTCTTGCAGTTCTTAATTTTTTTTTCTTTTTTTTTTTTTTGAATGGTTTACATATTTCAAAACTGAAACTCCAGTTCTATAAACATTTGCAGTAGTTTAGCAGGGGATGAACAGTTGGATAATATTTTCTAAAATTGTCTTTAATTTCTTATTGTGTTTTTTCCTAAATTACTTGTAAAAGTTGACCTTAAATAGTCCTGAATAATAGAACTTACTAAGCATGGTTCATTACACCTTTCTCCAGATACTCCGTCCCACATAGACTTGGCTCTATCTTGGTCATCATTGTGTTAGTACAATTGTTGATAAATATTGGAGAAGATTAATCTACAGAAGTTACTTTTGCAGTGAGTTATTTTTGCTGAATTCAGTATACCTAAAAGAGAAAAAGATGTGACCACTCACTACTGTAGAAATGAGAGAATGAAGTTCCTAGGATGGATTGGCTCCATATTTGAACCTTAAAACATTTCCCATGCTGCTGGATCTTGGCTGTGGAACTCAAAGGTCTCTTTCTCTGGAGTTGCTTCTTTTGCTATTTTAGAACAGCTGCTTGGATGTTCCACTTCTGTGGCAGCCCACAGGGGCCTGAGAAAAGAGCCAAGACCTGGCATAGCTTGGTGGCTTCTTGCCCATTTCCTTTTCTCTGTCCTGGCCTTCTCTCCCTGCTGCACCCCAACCCACAAGATGCTCTCCCTCTTTTGCTAGATTCCACTTGTGTGCCATTTGAATTAACAGAGTAGCAATTAAACATTTGGGTATTAACTCTTGATGTGGTGATTTTTAAAATTTTTTTGTCTGAGAATTGTATATAGAGTTGTATTTATTTATCATTTTGTTGTTGTTGTCTTGTGGTGTTCTCAGCTTTTCTCCTTTCATGTGACATCCAAGTGTGCTCACGTTTCCAGAACTGGCAGAAATAATATGACAGGCTATGCATTATTTTAAGAATCTTGGATCATAACCATCACCAAGTTGAGCAGGAATCCGAAAATAATAAATGCAGTAATGAATGCGGCAGAATATAAAGTGCACTGAAAAGCAGAAATTCAATGCAGATTTATTATAATTTATCTCAACAGGAAAATGGTCAACAGCAGTGCTTGGGGAAGTGTTTGCACCAGATCAAGATGACTGGGACAATAAAACATTTCTCTCTGAAGGAAAAATGCTGAAGTGAGGATTGTACTTGTGTCAAAATGAGTAATATTTATGCTTCCGTAATTATTTTGCTCACCCTGTATTTCTCCGTGTTCTGGATGTGCGTAAAGCCAGGGTTATTGAGTGTATTAAGGAATGTACCTCTGAACGCTCTTTTTCACTTGGGTAACTAGGTATTAAGAAATTAATGCATGAAATACTGTTTCCAGGAGAATGCAGGATCACACCATGATGTTGATTTTTAGTCAGATGTCATCATTAATTTATTTGAAAATGTGCATTCTGTAAGATCTGATTTAAAAATAGGCAGAGTTTTTAATATTTGCTTTCAAATGTTAGAGTTAATGGAATACAAATCCCAAATGTAAAAGTCCGAATGGAATAATTTCGTCAAATGTGGAAGGGAATTTGGTGATCTCCTTTAATGGCTAAATTTACAATTCCATGTGAAGACCATGACTCAGATTAGTGGAGTTTTTTCTGTTAATGTAAATGCTGAATTGGATCCCTAATACCTACTTATATATTATTTTTTCATATCATCAAGTGAGATGGCATTTAGCATAATTGTATGCAGCTTAAAATACAGAAAGTGGATGTGAAAATCAATATGATTTGTTGTATCTGCTGTGAATAAGAGTTTAAGAGCTTTATGTAGCCCAAAATTGAAGGCTGACTTTCTGTCCATCAGCAGCCTCTGGATCTGTTTCCATATTAAGAGGTTACTGTTCTATGATACTGGTGGTGGAATAGTTCCATCGTTACTGTTTACTGTCCCTTTGAGGTGGCAAATGAAGATGATATCAGAGATTTCATACAGAGCCTATCCTGTTCCAGATGGATGATTAAGCCCATGGTTCCACTACACACTGCTTTCATTCAAGTTTGGGAAAATCTGGGGATTGGGAGTGGCAGAAACATCTTTTTACAAACTCTACGGATTGTCATTTCTGAATTTAGGTGTTTCTGGTGCTTTTCTGAGATTGTTTGCTAATTCCTATAAATTTTGATCCTGTAACCTTCATAGTAACATTTAAGGCCTTCTGAATAATGAATAAATTAAGTACTCAGTTTTGTTTTATTAGAGTTTCCTAATTAAACATTTATGTATAGGTCTTTCAGATTAAATCAGAAGACTGGTTCTTTGATGATGGTGGATAACACTCCTCAAGGAATATACAACTTAAAAGTGAGAGTTTCTGATGGAGTTTGTCCTGATGTTATATCTACAGTACAAATCCATGTCGAAGAGCTGGAAAACGAAACCATACAAAACTCAGCCACAGTGCATCTATCAAGTTAGTGTTATTTGCTGGTGGGAGTTTAGATCAGCTGCTTCTATAACTGAATGTTTATGTGATGTAGGTGGTGTTATGTCAATACTTGATATACTTATCACTGTAGGGAACTTACCAGTATGTTTCAGTATTGTTAAATAAGAAATTGAGAAACTAACCTGTTGTCCCCTAGCATTTCATTTTTTATCTATTTTTGAATCCCAAACTCAGATGTCACAGCAGAGGAGTTCATAAGGAGAGATGAACATGGCAAAACGAGACATGGCAAGTTCAAGGAATTACTAGCAAAGATGTTACTCACTAAGTCCAGTGATGTCATGGTCTTCAGTGTGATGAACATTGATGGAAAACAGATAGATGTAAGATTTGCAGTCCGTGATGGCTCAGCATATTACAGACCTGAGAAACTGCATGCGGAGATGGCAGCATTTAAAAATGAGGTATATTCCCTAGGGTTATTGTTTGTCTGTCTAATTCACCAAGATACTGAATGTGTGGGGTATATATCACAAACCTCAGTGGAAGACTATGCTACATCTGCAGATAAGGAGCTTTTTTTCTTCAGTCAGGACAAAAACACTTCTTAGGCTAGCACTTAATTCAAGCTTTCTCCCTTCTCCTTAGTTCCATATATACAGTTACGATATGGCTGCAGTAACTTCTGGTTCAGTAAGTATAACTACTTTTTAGTCACAGAAAGATGATTCTCCATTCCCATTATGGTACAGTTGCCTGTGTTTTCTCCAGTCCGTGTTTCATTGTGTAATCTTTCAGAGTTTTCAATAGGAAATCAGAAGAATCTCTAGAAGCCAAAGTGGTGCTGTAGTACAGAGAATGTCTTGAAAATGACAGCTTTTTAGATGTTCCAGATGCTGATGGAAATACCCAAATCATCACCTTGTGGTTAGGCACTTACAGTAGAGGCTTGATATGACCCAGATGGAAAATCTGTTGTAGAAAGAGATGACACTCCATAGTAAAAATCCTGCTGGAAGGAATGTGCAGGTTAGAAGAACAGTTAGATCAGCGGGATGGAGTTAATCAATTTTGTGATTGTATTTAGCTCACCAAATGACAACTTTAAATACAAAGTGACACCCTACCCCAACTTTTACTGTTATAAGGTGAAAAGAGTTCTTGAATATAAGCTTCCCCTTTCTGGTGTACCCTAACTGTCCTACTCTTTTACTAGATCCTGCATGCCCGCTGACTCAGTTTCCTAGACACAGTCTTGTCTTGGCCCCACTTCTATTTTTTGTAGTCCTCCAAATTTTGGCTTTGCTGAAGGCCTGGAGCTGCTGCTGAATAGACACTAAAGCTGCTGCCTTGCACAAAGGCAAGATGACACTGCTCTGCTTGTAGTTTTCCCTGGACAAGGCAGCAGTTTATGTAATCTGTGTAATTACAAACATGTAATTTGTGGCTATGGGGTATACTTGGGTTTAATATGTGGTACATCTTATGGAGGATTGTTCTTGGATACACAACAGCACTTTACATTGGTGTGAATATGGTAGGGTCTGCCTGATTCTGGGAACCAAACAGGAATATCTTAATTTACCACCTGCGTACATCTTGGTGTATCTTAAATAGTCGTGTGGATTTTGAGACTCATCAGAGTGACCAAGTAGGAAGTATCAGAGATCGATAGTATTCATGAAGCATAATGACTGCTTCTTTTGTGTATTTATTGAATTACTGCAACAATAATACAGAAAATTGCATAGATTTCAAATATTCCATGCCATAATGTATGGCAGGTGAATTCATCAAAGTGGTAACAAGGGGATTGCTTCACATATTTTAAAGAAAAATGTGTTTGTATTAATTGTATATCACCTTTCAATATTTAATGAATAGCTCTAGTGAGTAATCACGAATAATTTACAGAAAACCAATCATAGCTGGAGAATTTCTCCAGTAGTTTTTGTACATGTGTTTACCTATAAATATAAAAAATAAGTAATTAGCACTGGAATTATTCATTGGATTGCTAAATAAATAATATGTTTGCATTGCCTCCTTGGGATATAGGTTTATAACAACTGTTTTTATTTAGCAGAAAAATAATCCATCCTAATACCGTACTGAAGCCAAGGTTGCTTATATACACTGTGTTTTTTCTGTAATTGTATTATATAGCTGTCTAAATGTCCATTATGGACTCTCCACTAATGGTCATACATGTGGGCAGCAGACACCAAACTACATTGACAGGATGCCTCATGTCATTATAAAGTATATTTTATGCCTTTGCGGACATGTTTTTCGATACATGTTGGGATATTCGAGGCTACAGTTAGAATTGATTATAAAGGTCAAAGTTCTTACAGTGGTGAATTGAGATGACTGCATCAGTGGAAAAACTAGGAGTGCTTTAGTATTTATGTATTTGTTATCGTGATTTCAAACCTTATTTTTAAGATTTGTCATTTATAGTTTGAAAGAAAAAACAACCAACCCCAAACCTCAAATCACCCCAAATGCTAAATAGATAAATAAAGAGGGTCTAAGTCTGATCTGCTGTTAGTTTTACATTTGTACCCCTCAGTGTATACTGTGACAGTAGTGAGGGCTCTTGTATTTGGCTATTTGAGCTTTCAGGTTCAACCCCAATTAATGACAAAAGCAACGAACTAGCAAATAGGATACTAGAATGAAGTAGAATAGGATACAGTATCCAGCTGACTGCATTTTGTTTCAGACAGTTTGACCTTAAATGTAAGTTTATGGGTCACAATCAGGAACCAGTAGACTGAATCCTAATTGCTACAAAGTTTTCAGGTCAGGTGCTGCCTGTGGACATTGTTATTGAATGCAGCCCTCCCTTCTCCTGTGGCTGTGTTCTTCTATGTGAGAGAACGTAAGAAATAATACCTGAGTATAATTCATGAGGAAGAATTTTTATCCTGGCTTGAGCTGAAACGTGCTGTCAGGATGCAGAGAAGTGTGACACAGACATCAGAGCTCAGAAGGTTGACTGTCACTGCTCTCAGAGCTTTGGTCCTTGGAAATAACGTGAGTTGAACGGTACATATTTAGCACGTTCACAGGCAGGAATGTCAGTAAGTAAATTTTAAGGAAATACTGCTGCTGTAATTTTTTTAAATTTTCCATGTATTTGTACAATCATTTTTCTTGCCTTTACACTCCGGGATGTTACTAATTAACACTCAAGAAACGAAAGCATTCCATGAAGTCTGCGATGGCTTAGATTTTTCAGAAACGAAGAAGTAAAAGCCTTCATTATGATGAGACTGATGATGTGTTAAACTCTTATTTTCTCCTAGATCCAGTCAACTTTACAACTGAACATTTCACAGATAGACGTAGATGAATGTAGGAGTGCAAACTGCAGCGAGGGCAGTGGCTGCACCAGCTACCTCACCGTGAGTGACATCCTGACAGTGGTGGATACGGGCAGTGTGTCGTTTGTGTCAGTAACAGCCACCACCAATGCAGTCTGCACCTGCTCAGCTCGGGAGCGAGTTCATCACTCCTGCTCCTCCTACCCTCAAAGCCCTTGTCTCAATGGTGGGGTTTGTATTGACACTTTGAATGGTTACAGGTGAGTAAACTTGCACTGCAGATTCTCATGCCTTTTTTTTGACCCTTCCATTTTTAAAGTGTCGAGTGGTGCTTACAAGGTCCAGGTCTAAAAAATCGAAACAGAAGACCCCACTAGTGCACTGGAGAGTAAACCTAATGGCAAAAGGGTCTTTACTAACGGCCCAATGACAGTGCTGTGGTCCTGAAGCGGGTGGAAATAGTGTGTGAGTAAGAAAGAAAGCCCTGGGGAAAACCAGTGGTATAATTAACGTGTCATTTTTTAGAAGCACCTAATTCAGTGTGAAGGAATGGGAAGTGTGCTCTGGTTTGTTTGTTTGTTTGTTTTTCTTTTCCAGAAGAGTAATAAGAAAGACAAATATCAGTGGTGATAGAAAGGATGTAGGGGGAATGAAATGTGAAGGGAAATAAGAAGCTTAGAAAACATTAGATAGGAAACTTGCTTTATTGTAGCATCACCTGGCGTGCACCAGTATTCCTTTAGTGAAATTATACTGGTTTATTCTAGCTAGGAATTAACCTCCCTGAGTTTTCTCTGTAATAAATTGACCAATTGATGTTTGGTATTTGGTGTTACTTCTTTAAGGAAATAATTCATGGTTCTCTGAAACATGGCCTCAAAAATGCCTTTTTTTTTTTTTAAATGGAGATAGTGTAGTGGATCAATATGCTTTGTAGCCTTTCAGTATTTTAATGATTGCCAAGCACCCCTGAGACTGCTAAAATCTTTATTGTTTCGCTGCTGTTGTTTTTTTACTGTGATTTAAGGGCTACATTTGTTGCATGTAAAACAAACAAACAAAGAAGTTCGAACAGTGGGGAATTTTCACTATTTGTTGTGTTTGTGTTCTTTCAGATGTCTTTGTCCTGCTTCATTTCACGGACCAGACTGCCAGCAGACAAAGCACAGTTTCCATGGAAATGGTTATGCATGGTTTCGTCCCATCAGGCCTTGTTTTGAAAGCTCACTCTCTCTCGAGTTTATTACTGTGGTTCCAGATGGACTTTTACTGTATAGTGGTCCTTTATCAAATCCAGAACCTGGGAGCACAGAAAACTTCATTGCAATAGGTACTTTGGCAAAAGTGTGTGCAAAAACTTAAGGATCTTCGGGGAATGGGTTTCCTGTGAACAGTGTAGTTGTTAGAGTATGAATTCTGTTGTTAGAGTATGAACAGTTAGAGTATGAATTCTGTTGTTCTATTTTGTGAGATAATGTATTTTCTGGTTTGAAATTTTGTTGAAACAAGTCCTTCTAGGTCTTTCTTCTTTGATGTCTATTTCTGTAGCCTGAACCTATTGCTTCAGGTCCATCACTGAGTTGTAGAAATCAAGTGGAGAGCAAAATAGACCGATTGTTACATATAAAAAAAAGTAAATCTCCCCCAGGAAAAATGTAGTGCTATAAAGGAATTTAGGGACTTTGAAGATGGGTATTATATGCTTTATGCAGTCTTAGTCGCATGTCATCTCTACCTAGTTTGGTGAGAAAACAAATCCACTTCAACTGCTTTCAGTCTTGGGGCATTTTTGCACATTTTAAAAAACAGGCAATGGTTTAATGGATGAATCCAGCCCCATTGTGCCACCATAGGAAAATTTATACACAAGTAGAACTCATTCTGTTGATATGTATTTAAAAGGCTACTACTGCTTATTTTTTGTGAATTAATATACGAGAAGCACAATAAGGTTGGCATGTTTTATTTTCCTAATGAATTGAAAGGGTAATACTGGATAGTGTTAATCACTTACCTCATTTCTGCTTGTTTAGCAGTTACTTGTTGATATGAGTAGGAGAGGGAGTAAAACCTGCAGGTGTTAATTGTTTTAGAGCATTACAAAATTACAGATTCCTTATCAGGAATTAGTTTCAATGTTTTGATGGAGAAGTGTCCTGGGTTCAGCTACAGCAG